GTACTGAATTCAGAATTTTCCTTTAAATCAATACATTCAATGACATAACTAGTTTTCAGGAGCTTGCAGAATAGACATAAACTAAAATGGCAACAGAATGCATTAGCATAAACCTACATGGCAATGATCAAATCTTGTTCAAATCACCCCAAATTAGAGCCAGATAGAAAGAATAAAAAAAACACTGTGCTAAACAGTCGAAAGCGAGAATGCTGCACGATGCAACGCAGTCGCAACCAATCAGAACATATCTGATGTTTATTTGAAAACAGAATTTTCAGTAAGGTTTCATTGTGGGTGGGTATACCCTGCATAATGCTGAACAAATAAAAAACAAGCAGAGATAGTGAGGATGACGTGTCACGTCTGATTAGAACATGATGTTGAGCTACAAATGCATCAGATCGTCCATCGTCTGTTTTCATACTGCATGTGTGTGTGTGTAGTGCAGCTGGTGTCCATCTGAAGAGCCTTAGCACTTTGTTAACACTGTACAAAGGTGTCTGATGTGTCCAGTATGATGTGTATGAGTAGTTCCTGTACTAACTATTGTCTGCTGTCATGTTCTTCCTGCTTCTGTATTGAATCATTAGCCATTTATTGTGTAAAATACATCAGTGAGTCTGCTAAAATGTCCAGTAATGTCCTCTGTCTAGTCTTCTTACTCAGCAGGGTAATGAATTAAGTGTCTTAGTTGATGACGTAAATGTATGGTATACAGTAATTTTGATGTTGTGATAGAGAGTATGTTGTATACCTGAGGTAATCTATCTATCTATATATATATATTTGAATTATAAACGTACAGAATGTATGCAATAAATCTCTTTGAATACTATTTTTGTCTGATCTCCTACGTTTAATCAAGTCATTTTTAAAGCACTTGAAATGGTAAAATGGTGCACCATTGTCTCTGGACCCCAGCCTGGTTCCTTCCAGACTAGGGACATCTAATTGGTGACCCCTGGTATAGACAAGTAGGGCACGACTGTACTGTGTTTGACTTTTAATGGTACACACCTCATTAATTATGTTCTCTTTGTATTTTGTGAAAATTTCAATTGTTTAAGTGAGGGAAATGTTAGTCACAGGAAGTGCCAGCAAGGCCGTACCTTCCAAAACTGGTTAAAAGGACCTGCTTACCAACTGAACAGTCATTAGAGGTAATGACTGTAAGAATAAAGGCTGGAATACACTACACAGTTTTTCCCCAGATTTTTGTCTGGAGGAGTCAATACACAGAGTTAGTTAGAGCCAGTCTGCAGATTTTGTGCAAATATGACTGAATATGTTCACCTTGGTCCATCATATGACTGATTATATAGACCCAGAATATCTGTCAATATGATTTTTTTAATTAAAAAGCACTTGATTTGACAGAAACTCAAATACAGAATTTTTACGTGAATTTGGCAATTGAGTCTTTTATCCAGTTCTACTTAATTCTGCCTTCAGGTTCTTCTGCAAAGTTAGTTCTTTTGAGCTTTGATTCACAATTACGTGATTTGACTTTACATAATTTTAGTCAGAATAAATTAAATGTATGGAGCGATTTCATATTTCTATTTAATTTTTTAAGCCTTTTAGTCCTAGTAAGATAACAATGTGGCTTATCAGGGAGTAACTATATTTCGGCATATTTGTGCAGTCAACGCAGAAATAAAACCATTAAAGGGGTCATATGATGCGATTTCAATTTTTCCTTTCTCTTTGGAGTGTTACAAGCTCTTGGTGCATAAAGAAGATCTGTAAAGTTACAAAGACTAAAGTCTCAAATCCAAAGAGATATTCTTTATAAAAGTTAAGAGTCAACCACGCCTACCTAAAACGGCTCGTTCTAACACACCCCACATACCTACGTCACTATCTGGGAAGAGTTGCATAACGCCGCCCAAATAGTGACGTAGGTATGTGGGGGCGTGTTAGAACGAGCCTTTGTAAAAATCGACGTGTTTCAGAAAGGCGGGGCATAGAGGAGAAACAATAATGTACAGTATGTGGAAAATAATGTGTTTTTTTAACCTTAAACCGCATAAACACATTTCATTACACCAAATACACCAAATACTGTTCTTTTTAGCAGCATCATATGACCCCTTTAATAATTAAAATGAATTGTAACCAATACAAATGTGCTTCTAAAATAAATGAACTAAATGAATCCTACTAATGCTACAGTTTCTTAAAAAAATATATAAAAAATTTAATGCTAGTATCATCATCTTATCACCACATGGAATTGTACTGAACAATAATGACTGTTTTCAAACAGGTTTCCTGAACACTCCCCTTATATGCCACTGGTCAAAAACAGATAGTTCCACCCCATACAGATGCCATTTATTTGAACTAGTTACTATGTCCAGCTGGTCAGTTATCTCTAACAGACAGAGATGACTAAAATGCATGAGGAAGTATTTAAAAAAACTGATTTGATAAAATATGATAACAGATATTTTTGTGTTAACAGGACTTTAAAATTTCCATGGGAACCCAGGAGACACAATAACTAAAAATAAACCCAATGACAACATTATTACATTCTCTTGTGAAGTCAAATGTGTATGCTCAGCTTAGCAGCCTCTGGGTTGGAAACTGATTTGAATACGTTGAAGAAAAGGAGATAAATTATGTGTCTTGTGTGTTTAATGCAGAATGGTGCAGTGCAGTAAATCTGGCCGATGTGCGCTTCATGATGCAATCATCACATACACACACAAATGCACTTTACCAATGAATGCACACACACACATCTGTCAGTTTTACTCCATTTCCATTGGTTATGGTGTGACACACAGCTAATAATAGCACCAAACGGTCTGACCCAATAGCCCCTAGGGCTCCAGCGTTCGTCTTGAAGGGCACCGCGTGAGTCTCCTGCTCATCTTCATTGCTACGGCTCTTTTAAATAGAGCACAAGTGTTATATAACGGCCCAGTGCATTCATGAATGAGAGCGGAGGAGGGGTGCTACATTCATACTGTAAGACTGCACCTCTCCTCAGCTGTCGTTCTGCTGAAATGAATGCGGAGAAGCTAAATGCCACTCGCAGATCTTATTCATGTGAAGGGATCTGTGGGAATTTGCAAACTGGACCCATAATCGTGATTCCTCAAGAGCGTTCGCGTAAATGTGATCACCCTTTCGAAATGAAATGAGCTCTGTGGAGGATCCTTGAAATGAAATGAGGAACAGGGGTGTCAGAGACGTGTAGTACACTAGCGACTGTTGCTAGGCAAAAAGCAGAGTCCACATCAGCAGGTTTAGCATACGAGAAATACTCTGAGGAATTTGTTTCATGTAGGCTCTATAGCGAGAGGAGTATTCCTGATTCTAAGTTCAATTACGTTCTTAAAAAAAAAAAAATTAAAAATCTGTAGCTGAAGTAGTTTTTGATGGTGGGGGAGATGTAGGATTTAGAGTATCAGGTTGACCCCTGTAAAAACATGTTATGAAAGGTCATGTAACACGATAATAGATTTATGATTCTTTAAGGAAGCATGTCAGATAAAAGAGGAAGGAGTTTTGTGGTGTGGTATTCTTTAAAGCAGTGTGACCTTTGTGAAAGTGCTTTTTACAATACAAACTGCTCCAAAGCAATATCAAGAACATGTTCCATATTTAACCGCAAATTCAAAAAAATTTGAATTTCCAAAAAAAATAGGAAAGAAAGAAAAAGTTTTTGATAAATTAAAAGTCCTAAAATTCTCTACATTACAGATATATATATATGGTTTGGCATGCTCTTGACAGTGCTTCATAGCATGCGTTTGCGTTTTCATGTGGATGGAGATTTTTTTTAAAACGGAAGAAGGAAAAACTCTGTTTATAAAAATACCCGTGTACGTGTGGACATGGCCAAAGATTAATTCTTTTTTTTGTGGACAAGTCAAATATTTCAATACGAGAATTACAAATGAAAAAAAAAAAACACCAATTATAATCTTATCTATACATAATACAGTCTATGCAAATGATATCAACAGAAATTACTGAAATAAAATGAACAAGCTAAATTTTGTTTTATCCTACGAGGTTTGTGTTTGTGTTCTGTAGTGATAGCAGCAGCGTGTAGACCTGTTTTCCCTCCTCCTCTCCTCACTATTTTACCAACTCCTGGTTGCCATGGAGAACTGTGTTGATCTCTTGTCTGCTCAGGACTGGATGATATTCACAGAGCTACAGTCTTTACATTGTACATCTCAGTGATGCTTTGACCAAACAGATAACAGCATAACCATAAAAAACAAAGTCCATTTTCTACGAAAGGGCATCTTAATGTAACCTACTGCAGACAACGATCTCTCAAGTCTATTATCTGCAGTATGATTTAAGTATCTCAGCTGGAGAAACAGATGTCAAGAGAAGCCAAACAAAAATAGGCCTTGATTTGATTTATTGCAGAATTTGTATGCAACTATGGGCAAAATAAGTAGCTCATGTTGCTAGCAAAGCCAAGGTCACAGATTACAAAATGTAAGTGCAGTTGTTCTTTGTAGTTAATCTGTACCTTTGTTGGTGGAACCAAAGGACATCAAATTGATTTAATCATAGTATTGTTATAAAAATGGCTTATTTAGATTTTACCACATGTAGCACTTTTTAAGCAACTTGGCAAAATATATTTTTTACAGTGTTCGCTCAATGTGTAAATCTATTCTGTAAAAAATGTTACTAGAGGATTTTAAAATGAAATGAACATTTTTACTCTAAATAAAATACCAAAAGTATAACCATTTGTTTCAAGGTTGCATGCAAATTAGTACATTATAATATTTAGTTTTATTAGCATATGCACGTTAATCTGTTTTAGGGCAAAAATTAAATAGGAATTTCTCCTTCAGCTGTAGTGTCTCCCATCAGATGTGTGGAAAAGGACATTTGGCAACATGCTGGAGTCTGTCTGCATTGCGCATTACACATCCACTCACTCACTCACCCTCTCTCTCTCTCTCTCTCTCACCCTCCCTCTCTCTCTCTCTCTGTTTGTGTCTCTGCTGTTCTGCTGCACGGGTTTGAGGAGCACTGCAAGTTTGCTGTGGTCTGGCGGCAGTAGGATGGTTATCGTGGATGTATTATATTCTTGCTGTATGAATGTGAGGCTGTAATGTGAGATCTATCTTAATAACACACAGGAGGTTTTGCACAGATCTCTCCTGCACTGCTCCTCAATCTGACTGCCCACGTAAGTACAAAGACAGTCATTTTATAACATCCCCATTGCCATCATTTGGTTTCACTCTCATTATTTGCGTTATAAATGCATGTCATTTTGGCAAATAGTGTCTTGATATCAGCTGAGAGCTAGAAAAAAATGAAACAAATCAAATAGATAAATAAATAAATAAAAATTAAATTATTCATTATAATGATTATAATGGTTGGTGCCTCAGAAACATACAGATTTTTTAACGTTTATAATTATATTACTATATATTATATTTATATTGATGTAAATGCATAAAAATAATGATTTTACCGCACAATTAAGATACAATAGAACCTCAGCCAGTGGCATTTATGTTTTAACAGATATACTAAGAGCATATATTCACTAGCTGGCTTACAAGAGGATATGTTCTGACTGCTTTCAGGACACTGCTTTCAAAGCTTGTAAATATAATTGAAAAGCAAGCCCTATTCAAATTCATTTTACCCTTACTCCTATTTGATCCTTAGAACTCTGTTTGAGATCATTGTTCAATCTTAACATGAACGGTACAAATGTACTGGAATATGTTGCTAGCGGACTAGAAATTCACAGAGCAAAGGCACTGTAGACATTCACATACTGTAGCAATGGAGTTTAAAATCTGATTTCATCTTACTGGCAATCGTGATAGTCCTGTTGGGAACTTTGTGTTCTCAAAGACCTAATTTTTGTTTGTGAATTCCAAAAGCAATAGGATTCCAAATATATATTAGGATCCTTGGTTCCAGTAGAAACTGCATGTCTTATTGCATCCCTGTTGATTTGTATGTGTGTGTAGGTAGGACATATTTCTTTTCCCTCATGGTATCCGAGGTATCTCATTACTCCACTTATTTTCTGGATGACTAGGTGAGGACACAAAGTAGGCGCAGTGCTCCACTGGACATGGAGATGGTCGACGTTTGGTGGAACATGAGGCTGGATGTCTTGTTGGGTTGTTGACTATTGAAACTGCAGGGCGTTGGATGCGTACTCAACCCACCTGAACATCCGCTGCCATCCAGTACTGCGAGTTTGATCTCCAGGATGACTGTGGTGGTTGCTGGAGATAATATGGACGAGACATCCTCCACTCTGCAGGGGCATCCACAGGACTCACAGTATTCCCCCGAGTGCTGCGAGCGAGTTGTTATCAACATCTCAGGGCTGCGCTTTGAGACACAACTCAAGACGCTCGCCCAGTTCCCCGACACACTACTGGGCAACCCCAAGAAAAGGATGGGCTACTTTGACCCTTTAAGGAACGAGTACTTCTTTGACAGAAACCGTCCGAGCTTTGATGCGATCCTCTACTACTACCAGTCAGGGGGAAGGTTAAGAAGACCCGTCAATGTACCTTTGGATATGTTCTCAGAGGAAATTAAGTTCTATGAGCTTGGAGAAGAAGCTATGGAAAAATTCAGAGAGGATGAGGGCTTTATTCGTGAGGAAGAACGTCCCCTGCCGGAGAACGAGTTTCAGAGACAGATTTGGCTGCTATTTGAGCATCCCGAGAGCTCGGGCCCTGCCAGAGGGATCGCGATAGTGTCCGTCATGGTTATTCTCATTTCTATTGTGATATTTTGCTTGGAGACTTTACCAGAGTTGAAGGAGGATCCACATGGACGGCTCCAGGTGATAGGCAACAGCACGTTCTACTTCAAACCAAATATTCTTACCGATCCGTTTTTTGTCGTGGAGACACTCTGCATCATCTGGTTTTCTTTTGAGTTGATTGTCCGTTTCTTCGCTTGCCCAAGTAAACCTGCCTTCTTCAAAAACATGATGAACACGATCGATGTGGTGTCCATCATTCCATATTTCATAACGCTCGGAACAGAGATGGCGGAGGACCCCGAGGGTGGAAAGGAGGCAAAGGGTGGAGGAGAGCAGGCCACATCTCTGGCCATTCTCAGGGTTATCCGCTTGGTCAGGGTGTTTCGGATATTTAAGCTGTCCAGACACTCCAAGGGGCTTCAGATCTTGGGCCAGACTTTGAAAGCCAGCATGCGCGAGCTGGGTCTTCTTATCTTTTTTCTTTTCATCGGCGTCATCTTGTTTTCCAGTGCAGTGTTTTTCGCTGAGGCTGAGGAAAAGGATTCCTTCTTCACAAGTATCCCAGACGCCTTTTGGTGGGCGGTGGTTTCGATGACAACCGTGGGGTATGGAGACATGTACCCCGTTACTATTGGGGGCAAGATAGTAGGCTCTCTATGTGCCATTGCCGGTGTGCTAACGATCGCGCTTCCAGTGCCTGTGATTGTGTCCAACTTTAACTATTTCTATCACAGGGAAACCGAAGGTGATGAACAGGCACAGCTCCTCACGGTGAGCAATCCGAACATTGCGTCCGATTCTAACTCCAGTCGTCGCAGCTCGTCTGTCGTCAGCAAGTCAGAATACATGGAGATTGACGACGACCTCAATAACAGCATTGATAATTTTCGCGAGGCGAACCTGCGAACTGGGAACTGCACAGTTGTGAATCAGAATTGTGTAAATAAGGGCAAGCGTCTCACAGATGTATAGTTTTCCTATGTCGTTCTAGGCCATTATAGGACGCCCCCGGCTGTATATAGTGTACTCTATTCATATTTCAGAGTGCTTTAACAAGGCCTCTGATAATGTGTTATTTCATTGCGTATGTTTTATCTCAAGTCCACGAGAGTTGCTTTGATTCTGTCCGAAGAACGGTAGTCTAAATCTGCCTATGGATACCAAATATTAAATAATTAAAAGACAGAATAACTATTATATGTACTTGGGTTAGAGTACTTGCATATGTAAATGACTTTACATTTTGCAATGCACCTTATCCCAAAAAATGATCAGTTATTCAGTGACAGTGACAGAAGAACTAATACTTTCTTGTACCATATGTTGACCATTTATTTATTTGCTCATTGTAGGTTATTGTAAACCATATACAAACTGAATGTTGATTAATTATGCAGATCATGGCATGTTTCATGAAATGTTGAGGTCTGTTTGATATGGTACTATGTATCCTGCTTTAATTAATACATGACATCAATACGAACTTTATCACGTATAGCCAAGCCGACAGTATAACTCTACTGAATTACAACCACTGCCCACTAAAAGCACAATTTTCTTTAACATCTTTAAAAACAAAGTATTTAAAATCAGTTCCAGGCAGTATTACATTTTAAAAGTATGACTTTATTTGTTAAAGCTTTTTAAATGTACATATTTAGTTCTAAGCTTAATTAATCATAAGATCTCTTTATCTATATTAAATCATTTTAATTATTATATATTATACTTAATACATTATAACTGCATATTTAATAATTATTATTTAAATGAATAATTTAATAGTGCCTTCAGTCCTCTAACTGGCATAGAGTGTCTCAACATGCAATAGTTACTGTAAAACATTTGCATATCTAATCACACATGATGTGTCGAGGGATATTCCAGGACCACTGGGGTTGAATTTCAGGAAACGGTCCCTCAGCATCCTTGTACATACAATAGAAGTTCATCTCGCTGGATCAGGCATTGCTTTACAAAGAAATGTGAGACATGCAGTGTTTTTTTTAACGTCTTTATGTATTCTTTTGTAATGGCTTTGTTTTGTTCATTGGTTTCTTTGGATCTACCTCAGTGTGATCATGCATAGTATGCTTGTGAATGCAAACTTCATATCCTGTCAAATTATCCAGTCAAATTATGTGGGGAGTGTGGGAGGGGGTTTGGTGGGGGAATGAGTATGCAATGGAGGTGAAACACTTTATTTCAAAATAAGAGTCCATAAAATTATGATTACAAAGTCCATAAGTGATGCTAAGCACAAGTGCTAATAGTGCTATATAATACGCACAGGTCTGCATCAGGGACTGTGACTGGTAGAAACTGCCATTACTTTTAATATCCGTAACAATGTGAGTTGAGATCTAAAAAGAACACCTTTAATTTGAGTGTAAATGTTGTCTATCAAAACCTAATGCACTTTAATGAGAATTTATGTATTTATAGGTTTTGCAACGAGAATGACTAAAAGAGCGAAAGGCAAAATAAAGAATCTAAAAACAGTGTGTTGATTTGTCCATGTTAAGGATGTGTGTATATTTGCAGGACAGCATCTTAACCAGCATAGGTGTTTTGCAACCCTTTAATTCGTTCTGTAGGGTATTTATGATATTCACTTAAATAATAAACATCACAACTGTGGTGCTTTGCCAGCAAAATAAATAGCTGAGATAAAAAAAAAATCTTTAAGAAAATATATTTTTACTATGTGTTTATACAGTTCTGTATAAAAGAAATACATGCCAGAGTGATGTTTATTTATTGTGACTATAGATGTCTTCAGTTTGAGAAACACTTTTATATGAATTGAATAGAATACCATACAAAACAGTGGACCAAAATTAGTTGCAAAGGTAATTTATGTATGTTATAAAGATGGAAACAAAAATGTTAATGCTAAAAAAAATTGTCAATATATTATGTTACAGAAAATTCTATATATCTGTAAAATAACCAGACATCTAATAACCAGGGTTCTGAATCATTATCATGTGTATTTTCATCTGGGCTTCTAATGTTGTTAGCACCATTTTTTTTTCTTTTGAAGATGAAAGAGTTTGATATAAACGAGTGCATTGAAATGTATTTCTGTACATTTCTGTATTTTTTTTTAAAGGGCCTGGTTTTCATGTTGGGCTTATCATATAAGTGTTATGCCATAAATTAAACTAAAGCACTTTGATATTATGCATGCAGGCAGCTCTGGGCTTACGTTGCTCTGACATGATTCATGCAAATGCTGGGAATAGCTTTTCTTTCTTTTTTTAAATTAAACAATCAAATCATTTAATTGTGATCAAAATGATCTAATACCCTTATTTCAGTTGTTTTTTGGTGGTTGACAATTTTAATATGTGTTGACTATTCATGGGCTGATAAGGTGTATTCTTTGATATGACTGACCATTTTAAGTCATTTTTGTTTCTTACAGTTTTTAAAGAATGTTTTTCTAAATTCATTTCAACTCAGTCTTTAGGATAAATGAGAAGCTTCAAGGATTCACATTGATAAATAAATCTAATTAAAATCCTCGTCTTGCCTCACCAAGGACTTGTTATTTCTGTTCCATTTCAGTTCAACAGCTCACCCTATGAAAGCACATGAAACTGGAAATGGGGTCACAACAATTCAAAGGTCTTGTTCTTCGGAAAGCAAACAAATAAACAAACAAATATTTCATAAAAATAGCTATTAGGCTTTAGTCACATCAGCCAATACTCATGTTTTTTTTTATAATTAGTTTTAAAAGCTATTATACAAAGTTTAATATAATTGAATATCAATGCAATATTAATCATGAAGGAATGAGTTTTGTGTTTAATATTTGCCACAAACCCTAAGAAAAAAACATAGGCTGTAAAAAAAACATGGACGTAGTGTCCGTGACGTCACCCGTACGTTTCTGAAGAGCATTTTTGAAACCCAAAGTGGGCGGAGCGGGCCGTCGCCATCTTGGCAGCGCATCACTGCGCGCCACTCTCGGATAATCGAAAATGGGCAAAGAGGCGGGACGTGGGTGGAGCTGGTGGCTGAAACCACGCCCACCTAGCTCGGCGGTGGTGACAGCAGCGGCAATCCACCTGTCACTCAAGTGGCCACGCCCCTAATAATGCAGAACTTTAAGGCTTAATATACTTTAAACGGATGAGTTATAAAAAAATTCACCCCCCTCACAGTTGTCATGAAGGGCAAAATTAGCTTTTTTTCTTTTGAAGATGAAAGAGTTTGATATAAACGAGTGCATTGAAATGTATTTCTGTACATTTCTGTATTTTTTTTTAAAGGGCCTGGTTTTCATGTTGGGCTTATCATATAAGTGTTATGCCATAAATTAAACTAAAGCACTTTGATATTATGCATGCAGGCAGCTCTGGGCTTACGTTGCTCTGACATGATTCATGCAAATGCTGGGAATAGCTTTTCTTTCTTTTTTTAAATTAAACAATCAAATCATTTAATTGTGATCAAAATGATCTAATACCCTTATTTCAGTTGTTTTTTGGTGGTTGACAATTTTAATATGTGTTGACTATTCATGGGCTGATAAGGTGTATTCTTTGATATGACTGACCATTTTAAGTCATTTTTGTTTCTTACAGTTTTTAAAGAATGTTTTTCTAAATTCATTTCAACTCAGTCTTTAGGATAAATGAGAAGCTTCAAGGATTCACATTGATAAATAAATCTAATTAAAATCCTCGTCTTGCCTCACCAAGGACTTGTTATTTCTGTTCCATTTCAGTTCAACAGCTCACCCTATGAAAGCACATGAAACTGGAAATGGGGTCACAACAATTCAAAGGTCTTGTTCTTCGGAAAGCAAACAAATAAACAAACAAATATTTCATAAAAATAGCTATTAGGCTTTAGTCACATCAGCCAATACTCATGTTTTTTTTAATAATTAGTTTTAAAAGCTATTATACAAAGTTTAATATAATTGAATATCAATGCAATATTAATCATGAAGGAATGAGTTTTGTGTTTAATATTTGCCACAAACCCTAAGAAAAAAACATAGGCTGTAAAAAAAAACATGGACGTAGTGTCCGTGACGTCACCCG